TGCTCTACGCGTCCCTGAATCAACTTTCAGAATCAACGTAGATGAGAAGGCATTATCTGTAGTATCAGCGAACAACGACCTCAATATTTAAGAAACCCTACCGAGGAGAATGAGACGAGGTGGAAAGGCAGGATAAGACTAACGACAACTGTGTTAAAACCTAACCCTATCATATTAGTCTACATTAATAATATCCTTGTGAAAATGCAAGTTGACCCTAGAGTGGAACGTACGCTCATATCAAATGACCAAGCAAACAGATTGAAGGGGAAAACTCATCAAATTTGAACTTAGACAAAAATTAGGACCCATCTTAGGGAAGCTAAGTACCTCTATAGGAATAGTGACGCCTACGTTTAAATTACGGGGAAAGAAACTTTGCATGCTGTGTGGTATCGTACAAGCCGAGGTCACAACCCCATGTGAAGGGATCTTGGGCAGAGACATCATTGAGGCGGCACGACTAACATTAGACCTTACTAATGCACAAGTGATGCTACCCAATCGGAAGCCTATACATTTTTGCACGCCCCTACGGCCACACAGAAGGAAGAAAAGGCGGAAGGACATAAATGAAAGGGAGAATGCGTTGGACATCCCACAAACTGAATGAATAGCTCCCGCCGAAAGAGAAAACAGAGGAAACCGACAGAAATGGAGCGAAAGAGAAAAAACTGCAACCCGTAGAAAATTTAAGCGACCTAGAATACAGCGGGATAACAAGGACATGACCGTCGATCGCCCTATAGTATCACCAGAACAGGACGTACTTACAGTAACGCCTCAACAGATTATTACTACTGACCCTTGGGATGAATTTATTTTGAATTCTATACTCCCTCCATTACCGGAAGAACAAACAGAACCGAAAAGTGAAAGTGAAAGTGAGAGTGGTGAAACTGAGCCCGAAAGCGAAGTCCATGAATCGGACATGGAAGAAGAACAAGAAGTTAGTCCTCCCTATGCACTTCGAAGTCAGGGCCCAGTTGCGGATCAACCATGGGTTATGCCTCAACCCACTCATAGTCGTATTCCATGACTTATTTCTCCCGCTTCTAGTCGGTCATCCTCAACTTAGGTCTGCAAATAAGTTGTAACATATTGCTAGGGCATTAATTTCATTTCAAGAATAGAGGAATATAGAAAAAGGGCTCTAATTAAATTAACCTAGTCCAAAGTCATTCCCTTATTTACTCTTAGATCTCAACAAAGTCAGAGAATTCAAGCATTAATAACCATATCTCCCTATTTCAGAGGAAGAAAATCTACCCTATTTTTACTCTTTTATATTGGTTATTGTCTATTTTCCTTCCCACGATAATTTTTTTCGAAATGCGTATTCCAAACTTTATACCAGGATATAATTGATGCTAGATTCATTATTCTTTATTCGGTAAAACTTTTCTATATCCTAAATATCGCAATTTTAAATTAATGAGAGAGAGAGAGTAAATCCACCCATTATGTAAACCTACCTACCTCTACATCCCAGAGATATTCTTTACTCCATAAATTTTTACTAATATTGATATTATTTTATCTAACCCAAGAACAGTACCACTTCACTTCCAGAATGTGCTGATCCATGGGCCGACTAGCCAGTCACAGACTAAAATTCTTCACCTAATTCACTGACCTTCCCTCGTCAAAGATGCCAACCAGGTATCATCCTTCTTGAAGATTTTGCCCATATTCTGCTTGAGATATCCATCAATTCCTACTCCCAACTCCATCAAATTCATATCATTCATCTGCACCAGAAGACCTACAACCAGCCTCAACACCAAGAACTTTGAACTACTCTTCACCAATCAACAAGCAAGCACCTAACAAACAACCTAAGATGACTCTGTTAATTAATAACCTCCACCCGTAAATATTGTCGCGGTGTTAACGCATGCCGGGATAAAATTATATGTACACCTAGTTCTAATTTCTACGCCTAAATGTCAACCAATAAATTAAATATTCTTATCAATAAATGAAAGAGATGAAAAATAAGGGAGAGATTTCTAATCGTTTTGTAATCATACCTCTAGCCGAAAAAATCAATCAACCACCTAATTTTTAAAATTGCACTATCTAAGTACAGTTTTAAAGAAAGAAAAGAGTGATGTGAAATTCGAAGTTCATATAATTTCATAAAAGAAGTTAATCCTTTAAATTTACAATAAATTCCTTTAACTAGAGGAATTTGAACCTACAGAAACGAAATATAAAGTGCATGAGAAATTTATAACTCTTGCTATTTAACTATAAACATTCTCACAATCAACTCGTGTATAGTTTACAATTACTGGCAAAATTCGTCATAATGTTGTCATTCTAACACCAACTTTAACCCCACACCTGCTAAAGCAATTGGTCACCTGACAAATTTTCCCACCACAAAACGTATAAAAGCCCTCCTCCTTCCCCTCTCGGGGGAGTCACCAATCGAACGAACAACGACCAAGACGGACTTTAACTTCCCTTATACCTACTGTATGACCTTAATTGGAAGACCTGGGGCCATACCTCACACCGCCTTTAGGAACAATTAAAGATAGAATATCCATCCGATATTATCTCAGAAATACAAAATATTATTGTGAACTCTCTCTCTCATCTGCGAAGTCGAAGGAGTTTTGTACATTTTTATTTAGTTAGCGAGTTAAATAAACTCTTGTTTTGTTTTTAAATGGTGACGTTACTCAACTTTGCCAACGTCTTATCGTCGACCCCTCCGACTCTCCTCCACTCGTGTAACGCGTAACTGAACGAAATGCCATCCTTGCAAGAAAGTAGGTCACCGACCTGTGGCCGGAAGGAGAGGACTTCCCAGCCTCCCCGGCGGCTCACACTCATGTATCGCCCACACTTTATCGACGACCCTTCCCACTCGACCTGATAAACCAATCCCGAAATTCAGGAAACTGTGCAAAAAAGAAACACACCATACACAGACAACGTGAGCAGTTTTCACCAAACCTTTGCCAGTCAATGGGTTAAGACGCAAGCCTTACCCCAGCTCCTCACACAGTGTATTCACATTTTTTACTATGTGCTCACCCTATGTGGTTTAAAAACAAAAGTATTTTATCTGGGTCATTTGAATCGTTCTTGTGTATTGTCAGGAGTAAAGATGAATAGCATTAGGAAAAACAAAGCTTTTTAATTGAATTCCAAATTGAAATTCAAAAATCACACAGGAGCCCGATATAACTTTTAATCCATTCTCATGTGAAAACATATGATTATTCAGAAATCAGAATTAAAAAAAACTCATAAGTGTAATTGACAGAGTGGATTTGACTGTTAAGAATTGGCAAGAAAGGTTCCGATTGTCCATCTTTGCATGAACAAATTATGTAATTGATTTAACAAGATTTTTCCTTAAAGTTTAAAATGCCAGTAATTTTTGTGGGACAAAATGTGCATTTGTGCACACTGATACTTTATTTCTGATTAAACAAAATAAAATTAAAATTGTATACATATATCTAATTTTCTTTATTTTGATCTTAATTAATATTAAAGATACGGTAATTAATATTAAAGATTCATACTCCATTCCTATCATACACAAAGTATCTGGAAAGGAATGTGGAAACAAATAAAAAAGTGGATTATTAAGAGAAAATATTGACAGTAGTTTCAATTTATTTTAGTTAAAGTATAATGTAAGTTTTCTAATTTAAAAATTAATTACTTAAATGGAAGTTTAGTACTTTAATTTGATAACGTTTGATTAAAATCCTGTTCTAAACTTGTTGGAATTGGCTGATATATAATATATTAGATTGTTCAGAGTGTAAGTTCGTTTTTTTACCACCAGACAGATTAGTTGTATTTTCCCCGCCATTTTCATTCTAAACCATATTATCATTATATATTTTGACAGCTAGCATTTTAAGGCTTATTTGTAAAAAATTTTGTTTGATTTTGTGCAATTGTTTATTTTTTGTATCCCATCAAATATGTAACATCGGAAGCAGCATTTTCGGCATATTTTGCTCTTTTATTACCGAAAAGGTAAGAATGCTGTTCAAACGAGAAAAAAATCGTGTGACGTGTATCGAGAAGATGTATTGACAGAACGACAGTGCCAAAACTGGTTTACAAAATTTTGTTCTGGGAAGTTCAATATTGAAGATGCACTACGTTCTGGACGGCCAGTTGAAGCCAATGAAAACAAAATAAAGGTACCGATTGAAGCAAACTGCCAAATAACAACATGTAAAATCACTAAGAGATTAAATTTGTCAAATTGAACTGTTTATGATTACTTGAAATAAATTGGTTTCGTTTCAAAGCTCGATATATGGATTCCACATGTTCTTAAAGAGAGATGCTCTCTTTGGTGGGATTTTAAGGAAATTTTTTTTGGAGCTTTTACCAGACAATTTAAAAATTGATTCAAAAGTGTGTTGCCATCGAGTAAACAAATTGAGTAATATCATCAAACAGAAAAGACAGCAAGAATTGATCAACAAAACAGGTGTAGTGTTTTACCACGATAATGTCAAATTTCACACAAGTTTGGTAACTGATCAGAAACTGTTATAACTTAGATGGGTGTACTATCACACCAACCATATTCGCCAGATCAAGTACACTCAGATTATTTACTTGTTCCAGTCTATACAAATTTTTTTTAACTGTAAGACATTTACTTGAAATGACAATGTCAAAAATTACTTGGATCAGTTTTTTGTAAGCAACGATCAAAACTTTTATGAATGTGAAATCATGTTACTACCAGAAACAATTACAACAGGTATTTGACCAAAATGGTTGATATATATCATTCAATAAAATATTTAATTATTATAAAAATATTGTGTTTTTTTCCACAGGAAAAACGAACTTACTTTCCGAACAACCCAGTATATTACAAATTTTTATGAACTATACTTGAGCATTTTATGATAGACTTTTTGGCCCAAATGTACTTAGGCTAAAAGTTTGTATTTATTATATCCCAAAAGTAGTAAAAGTCTGCTGTAATTTTAAAATACCTGTGTGGATCCTTGTTTCCTCCTGTGGTTTGACGATTAATGGAATCCTTAAAAATCTGCCTTCTATAAATTTTCTCTTCTACAGTTGAACACGTAATCAATCGATAAACCACAACAGATTTGTCTTGTCCTATTCTACACACCCTATCTACAGCTTGAGCGTCTGTTGCCGGATTCCAACTGGGATCATCTAGAATATAATCATATCATACATTTCATATTATTTACAATACCTAAATATCTGAAATACAGAAAAATTTAAAACTTACATCTGCTTTTGATTTTATTTGTAAGAACAAATGAGAAAAATAATTAATATGAATAAAAAAGTACAGGTATAATTATAACAGATTCCTGGTTTTAAAGTCCAACTGGTTATAAAAACCAGAGCTGTAGAGTCAGTCATCAAAAATCCCAACTCCAACTCCTTTTTTACTTTCCCAACTTATGTATATAAAAAACAAAAAGTATTTGAATCATATCACCTTTTAGTTTTTTGCAAATCTATATATTTCGAGATCTCTCAAACCCAAAAAATGTCAAATAAAGGAAAAAATTTCCACGTGCATATGTTGGTGTCTAATTTGTTTAATTTTTTTTTCTGTTGAAATATTAAACAATATCTCAGAATGAGTAAAGTTTAAGAAACAAAATTTGTCACAGGAGCATGTGTATAAAGGAATTCAATGCTATTAAATTTTGGTTCTTAATTAAAGGTTGACAGGGTAGAGAGAGACATAGAAGGGGTCATGTGTCATATCTCCAGTGTGGTCAGACTTTGAGGAATATTTTATTCATTATTAGCATTCACAGTTTTATAATATAATCAAGGTGGGTTAATAATAATAATAGTAACTGTCCCGTGGTCACCACCTGGTCGTGATAGGACAGCCCAGTAATTTTACTGATCCATAGGGCAATGCAGGCTGGAGCACAAGCTCCTGGTAGGGACACCCATGCCAGTAAGGTCTATGGGGAGAAATGAAGCTAAGAGTGACCTCACCCACATTCTGTAGAGATAATTATCATGGTAGTAACCAGATCAAAGTGTGATACCGGCTCGGACATTGCACGGGTTAACAAGGTCCGCTATCGTGGATTAGGCAGAGGCTCACGTTCGAAAAATAGGCCGCAGTCTCCCTTTGTTACCGGTGGCGAAAGCAGCGCCGGCCCAAGCATGGCTACTGCAATGCCCTCAACAGATTTGAGGAATCAACATAGCCTTGGTGTTTCAGTGGCAATGCATCCACAGACCACAAAGGCTGGAAAACCACGCCAACAGATAAAATGGACAGCAGAAATAAACGAGTTTATCATCCGTACTTACTACGCAATCACAAAACTCGAAACAAACATGACAGCATACAGACAACAACTACACCATAGATTCACACAACAATATCCTCACCTCACTGTCACCGAACAAAGGGTTGTCGATCAAAAAAGAACAATTATACATAACAACCTTATTCCACAAACAACACTTGAACTTATCAAACAACAACAAATACATCAACAGACTGATCAAATACATCAACAGACACTAGGTTACTGATCAAATACATCAACAGACACTAGAATTGTTTGACACTAGAATTGTTTATTGGCCACACTCTTTGGTATAGCCGAAGAAACATGAATACGAAAGAAGAATAAAAGTTTTAGGAAGGGTTAAGGTGGAAGGTGAAAGAAAGCGAGATAGGACAGAATGAAAGATGAACATCAACAGACAGAAACACTTAACATTAAAGAAGATCACATAACCTGTCAGGTTAATCCAGCAACAAGCATTAATAATAGCACATGTACAACTACCACTAATGATACTACAAGCACTTCCTCATCTATCATTGATAACATACACATAGAATTAGTTAATACTCTCACTTATATTTCAGGAAACACTTACTAAATATACTGGCACAGATCCCACACAAAGACCACGAATACCGAAAATCAACACGTCAAAGGTAGTAGGAAAAACAATTTTCCATCCAAAGAGGACGAAAACCTAAAAAAGAAAGTGCAATATATTAATGAGAACTTTCGATTAAACGACCTAGTTGTTTTGTGCAACTTATTAAATGTTCAATATGACGGTACTAAAGACGAAATCGTCGAAAGGCTTCTTCTTTCTCTTTCTGATTTAAAATCATTACAATCAAATCTGATCTTGGCAGATGTTGATGCTGATACCGAAGACAAAGATGTATTAGAAGTTCAAACTGTTGCCGATATTCCACCTAGCAATAATTGTCTGCGTGTTTCGGATATTACTAAACTTTCCATTAATTAACTTTCATGACGTGAAAAACGTAATCAAACCTTTCGATAATAGTTAATATTGTTCTATCGATAAATGACTGAATACATTCGATGACTTTGGTAAAACGATGACTTGCTCTGATTTACATAAATTTATATTTGCGAAACAACTTTTAACAGGGTTAGCGAAATCATTTGTTGAAAGTCAAAGCGGTATTAATTCCTGGGATAAATTGAAATCGGAATTAAAAGCGGAATTTGGCAGTAAATATAACTCAGCGCGATTGCACGCTATGTTGGCTAAATGCCAAATGCTCCCCAATGAATCCGTGCAAGAATATTTCTTTAAAATGCAAGAACTCGCTAGTCATGGAAAAATTGAGCCTGACGGGTTGATCGAATATGTTATTTCTGGTATACGTGATTTACCCAGTAACAAAGCGATATTATACGGAACAGATAATTTGACAGAATTTCGTGAAAAGTTGATAGTATATGAGAAGATCCGGTCTACATATTCTCGTTCGTTTCAGTCTAAACCGAATCTACCTACAGAGCATCGAAAACCCCAGTCTTATCGAAATAAGCATGACAGTAAAACTCTCAAATGTTTTAATTGTAATGAAATTGGTCACATTTCGAGTAATTGCTCGTATAAATCTGAAGGTATTAGATGTTTTATGTGCAAAAAATTCGGCCATAAAGCTAACGCTTGTCCTCAAAAAGAAGTAAACAAAATGGAACTAAGTCATTTCTCTAGATGTAACAACAAAATTGAAACGGATGTCGAAATCCTAGGTGCCAAAACAAAACGACTCATTGACACCAGGTCGGAAATAACAATGATACCAAGGCGTTTTTATGATAAAGTAGAGACTCCGAAAGTAAACTCAGATGATGCATCTTTAATTGGATTAGATTGGAATAGTATTTCTCCGTTAGGTTGCTTCGAAAGTGAAATAAAGATTGACGAACACTCTCTTCCTGCAAATATTTACGTAGTAGAAGGTGATCTGTGTAATTCCATAATAATAGGAATAGATGTTCTGAATAAAGTGAACTTCTCTNTCACGTAAACAACCATCTTCCGTTTCTACCAATTCACGTTCGAAGAAGTATTTACTTTCGACACTTGGAGCAGCACCGTCGCCGTAAAAACTTCGCGCTAGCCGGACCTCCACCGTAATCCGAGCGCAAACGCAAATAGGTCACGTGATTAAAAGCTTTTACGGCGAGGGGATTTTACGAAGTTTTTACGGTAGTGGAGTCCTAGCCTAACACCAACTTTAACCCCACACCTGCTAAAGTAATTGGTCACCTGACGAATTTTTTCACCACAAAACGTATAAAAGCCCTCCTCCTTCCCCTCTCGGGGAAGTCGCCAATCGAACGAACAACGACCAAGACGGACATTAACTTCCCTTATACCTACTGTATGACCTTAATTGGAATACCTGGGGCCACACCTCACACCGCCTTTAGGAACAATTAAAGATAGAATATCCATCCGATATTATCTCAGAGGTACGAAATATTAGTTGTGAACTCTCTCTCTCATCTGCGAAGTTGAAGGAGTTTTGTAAATTTTTATTTACTTAGCGAGTTAAATAAACTCTTGTTTTGTTTTTAAGTGGTGACGTTACTCGACTTTGCCAACGTCTTATCGTCGACCCCTCCGACTCTCCTCCACTCGTGTAACGCGTAACTGAACGAAACGCCATCCTTGACAAGAAAGTAGGTCACCGACCTGTGGCCGGAAGGAGAGGACTTCCCAGCCTCCCCGGCGGCTCACACTCACGTATCGCCCACACATTATCGACAACCCCTCCCACTCGACCTGATAAACCAATCCCAAAATTCGGGAAACTGTGCAAAAAAGAAACACACCATACACAGGCAACGTGAGCAGTTTTCACCAAACCTTTGCCAGTTAATGGGTTAAGACGCAAGCCTTACCCCAGCTCCTCACAGTGTATTCGCATTTTTTACTATGTGGTCACCCTATATCGTTTAAAAACAAAAGTATTTTATCTCGGTCGTTTGAATCGTTCTTCTGTATTGTCAGGAGTAAAGATGAATAGCATTAGGAAAAACAAAGCTTTTTAATTGAATTCCAAATTGAAATTCAAAACTCACACGGGAGCCCAATATAACTTTTAATCCATTCTCATGTGAAAACATATTATTATTCAGAAATCAGAATTCAGAAAAACTCATAAGTGTAATTGACATAGTGGATTTGACTGTTAAGAATTAGCAAGAAAGGTTCCGATTGTCCATCTTTGCATGAACAAATTATGTAATTGATTTAACAAGATTTTTCCTTAAAGTTTAAAATGCCAGTAATTTTTGTGGGACAAAGTGTGCACTTATGTGCATTGATACTTTATTTCTGATTAAACAAAATAAAATTAAAATTGTATACATATATCTAATTTTCTTTATTTTGATCTTGAAAGTCACACCTCGTCCCTATATGCAAGATCATCTTATATGTGAGTAAATACGGTAATTAATATTAAAGATTCATACTCCATTCCTATCATACACAAAGTACCTGGAAAGGAATGTGGAAACAAATAAAAAAGTGGATTATTAAGAGAAAATATTGACAGTACTGTAGTTTCAATTTATTTTAGTTAAAGTATAATGTAAGTTTTCTAATTTAAAAATTAATTACTTAAATGGAAGTTTAGTACTTTAATTTGATAATGTTTGATTAAAATCCTGTTCTAAACTTGTTGGAATTGGCTGATATATAATATATTCGATTGTTCGGAGTGTAAGTTCGTTTTTTTACCACCAGACAGATTAGTTGTATTTTCCCCGCCATTTTCATTTTAAACCATATTATCATTATATATTTTGACAGCTAGCATTTTAAGGCTTATTTGTAAAAAATTTTGTTTGATTTTGTGCAATTGTTTATTTTTTGTGTCCCATCAAATATGGAAGATCAAAAGCAGTATTTTCAGCATATTTTGCTCTTTTATTACCAAAAAGGTAAGAATGCTGTTCAAGCGAGAAAAAATTTGTGTGACATGTATGGAGAAGATGTATTGACAGGATGACAGTGCCAAAACTGGTTTACAAAATTTTGTTCTGGCAATTTCAATATTGAAGATGCACCAC